GAGGGTGGACTAGAGGGACCCTCACTGGTCTGATCCAGCAGGGCTTTTCTGGTGTAATCTGTTTTCTTATCAGGGGAAGGCCTCGGCCTCTCTGCCCTGTTGCTGGCCCTCCAGAGGAACTGGCTGGCCCCTGTGTGAGACGGGAGGCTGGACTAGAGGGACCCTCACTGGTCTGATCCAGCAGGGCTTTTCTGGTGTAATCTGTTTTCTTATCAGGGGAAGGCCTCGGCCTCCCTGCCCTGTTGTTGGCCCTCCAGAGGAACTGGCTGGCCCCTGTGTGAGACGGGATGCTGGACTGGATGGACCTTCGCTGGTCTGATCCAGCAGGGCTCTTCTGAGGTTCTTATCAGGGAAGGCCTCGGCCTCTCTGCCCTGTTGTTGGCCCTCCAGAGGAACTGGCTGGCCGCTGTGTGAGACGGGATGCTGGACTAGATGGACCCTCAGTGGTCTGACCCAGCAGGGCTCTTCTGAGGTTCTTATGCAGTTTGCCAGGGGGTAGAGTAGAACCACTCCTCACTTCTTCTTCTTCTTCTTCTTCTTCTCTCTCTCTTTTCGCAGTCCAGAGGTCGGTGTATAAAGACCTCATCCGGGTTCTCCAGAACGACTCCCTGCTTTCCTCTTCGCAAATGAAGTCCAAGGTACCCGTCCAGGCCTTTTGCTCTGCGATTGGGGGCAAGTGGGGTTTGACTGTCCCTAGAACTGGCGACAAGATTTGGGGGTCTTAGGGTTCCCAACTCCGGGTTGAGAAATTCCTGGAGATTTGGAGGTGGAGCTTGGCGAGTCCACCCTCTGAAGCAGCCATTTTCTCCCGGGGAACTGATCTCTGTAGTTTGGAGATTGGTGGTAATTGTGGGGGGTCGCCAGGCCCTACCTGGAGGTTGACAACCTTAGAGGGTCTTTGGCCCTTGGAAGCCACACTAATGGCGGCCCTGTTTTGCCGGAAGCAGCAGGGTGTGCAAAGGGAGAGCTTCCTCGTTGCGCCATGTAAAGTGAAAATGGCGGCACTGTTGAGTGGGACAAGGAGCTGTTTGTGGGTCTTGGGTCCTGTTGCTCCCTCTGCTGGCCAGTTTTGGAATTTCATGGGCTGGGCCGAATCATCGCAGCCGTAAACTTAATCCTAGCCTTATTACATTGCTTATCATATGTCCCTTGCCTGTTGATTGCATTTATTTACGGTGTATCATCGGCCTTGAGTCTTGGGGAGAACAGCAAACTATGAATAAAGTTAAATACAGTCGATCCACGATCGGCTCCCCAGGTACTATGGAATGATGGCGTAATAGTGATGAGGTAGATTTTAGGAGAGTCGGGTTCGAATCCACCCTCTCTGTGAGTCTTGCTGAGTGACATTAGCCCCGTCCCTTTCCTAACCGCCTTTCTTCCACGTTATCCTCACAACAACCCTGTGAGGTAGGTAAGGCAGAGAGTGGGTGACTGGCCCAAGGTCACCCGGCAAACTTCCGTGGCAGAGTGGGGGTTCGAACCCGGGACTCCCAGTTCCTAGTTTGACGCTCTGACCGCTACACTGGCTCTCCTAAAAAGGGCACAAGCCTGTCGCTTTTGAGAGCCTCAGATTTTGTCCGGTGGATCCAAGGAGGGAGGTGCTATTAGGGTCGCGATGCAGAACACAGGAAGACAGGTAACGGAAACTAATAAAAGAAATGTTATGGGGAACCTAAAGCCAGCACTGGGCCGGCTAGTCTCTGGCTGACTGGCCAGGAAGGTCCATGGTACATAATTTGCTTCCCACAATTAGAAAAGACAAGAAGTGGGATCTGCATTACTTGTGGGGAGGCCCCCCGCCAAGCCTTCTCCCCCCCCCCCAGCACCGGCGGCGGCAGCAGGACAGTTCCCAGGGCGTTCTCTGCGCATGTGCAGGGAACACTCTTTTACTTTTTGGGGGATCTAAGTATCCCCTGTATAGTTTTTTAAACCTTTCAGATTTTTCTGCACCCTTGGGGACTGCCCCAAGGGTGCAGGAAAATCTGCCCCCATGTGCCCCCGATGTGCGGATTTAGATATCCGCACAGAAGGGGCCTCTTGGCTATTAGTATATAGATGCGTTTACACACTTCTCCCCTCTTTTGAAATAGCAGTAATATAATCTATTCGGTTTATAACCAGCACAGATCTCTGTATCAAAACCACAATAATATATTTTGACATATGTATTGCTTTGGTGTCCTTTAATTAAATCAAAACAACGGTTGAGCTTATAAACTCAGCTTGTTATTCAGTTCGGTCACTGCATAACTTAAAACTTCATCATGTTGCTTGTAAATTTGCTGTTCGCCCTGTATCTATAAGCAGGGGTCATTTCGTTGAAAAAGAGGTGCAGGAGCTCATTAGCATAACTTATTTGCATATGCCACACCCCCTGACATCACCGGATGTTTGTCAGGAGGCAACACCCACCGCTCAGGCTCTGCTTGGCTGTTCTGGATTGCTAGCTATTGGGGGGGCGGGGAACGTGCAGATCTGTCCTCACGGAGGAGGGAGAGCTTGTACCTGAATAAAACTTGGTCTTAAAGGTGCCACTGGACTGTTTTGGGCCGGGGGGCTGAGGGGGCTCTGCAGCTTACCTGGCTGCTTCTTGCTCTGACTGAGGGCTGCTGGGAGCAGGGGGTGGGGCTTGTTGCATGTGCCCGCCCCCTGGCCCCTTTACTGCCGGACCTCTGCTCCTGTGCGCTCCTGCAGCGAATGACCCCTGTCTATAAGTCTGAAATCTAGCTTCCTTTTCAATGGATTTGACAAAGCGGGCGTGCCCACAAAAGCTCCTACCTTGAATAAAACCTCGTTGGTCTTAAAGGTGCCGCCGGACGCTAAATCTGTTCCGCTGCTTCAGACGGACACGGCTGCCCCACCTGTACTATTACTTTGTGTCCTCCCCCCCCCCGTCCCCAGGGGGAGCTCTGCTTTGAAAACGACCACTTGATCGAAGGGGGCGTCCTGGGGGAGCTGCACAACGGCACGCATTATCGTGAAGTCCGCCAGTACCGCACGGACCACCATCTCGTCCGCTTCTACTTCCTGACGCGCGTGTACTCCGACTACCTGGAGAGCATCTTGGACGATTTCCAGGCCGGCCCCGAGCCAGATGTCTTGGTCCTCAACTCCTGCATTTGGGACGTCTCAAGGTAGGGGTTGCCCTCCAGAAGGCCCTCCAGAAGGGGTCGCCTGGGTCGCTCCCAACTCCCCTGACGCCTGGCCTCCTCTCGGCAGGTACGGCTCTTCCTCCATGAAAGAATACCGCAAGAACCTGCAGACCGTCTTCAACAGACTCGACGCGGTGCTCCCCGCCTCTTGCTTGGTCCTCTGGAACATGACCATGCCCCTGGGCCCCAAGGTTACGGGGGGCTTTCTCATCCCTGAGGTAAAATGGGGGTCCAAAGGATCTTGAGAAATGGGCTCACTTCTGGGCATCTCTGGTTAACCAGTTTGGCGTCGCGGTTAAATGCGCGGACTCTAATCTGGGAGAACCGGGTTTGATTCCCCCACGCCTCCACTTGCGGCTGCTGGATGACCTTGGGCAAGCCACAGTTCTGTCAGAGCTGTCCTTGAAAAAAGAGCCGTTTCTGTCAGAGCTCTCTCAGCCCCACCAACCTCACAGGGTGTCTGTTGTGGGGAGGGGAAGGGAAAGGAGTTTGTAAGCCGCTCTGGGAGTCCTTTGGGTAGTGAAGGGCGAGGGTATAAATCCAATCTCTCTTCTTCTTCTTTTACCTCACAGGGTGTCTGTTGTGGGGAGGGGAAGGGAAAGGAGTTTGTAAGCCACTCTGAGACTCCTTCGGGTAGTGAAGGGCGGGGTATAAATCCAATCTCTTCTTCTTCTACCTCCCAGGGTGTCTGTTGTGGGGAGGGGAATGGAAAGGAGTTTGTAAGCTGCTCTGACACTCCTTTGGGTAGTGAAGGGGTGGGGTATAAATCCAGTCTCCTCCTCCTCCCTCTTCCCAGCCAGTAGACGTGCCGTAGGAGAGCGAGATTCGAATCTAGTACCATCAGAGACCTGCAAGATTTCCAGGGTATAAGTTTTCGAGAGTCAGAGCTCCCTGTAGAAGAAGACTTGGATTTGTACCCCACCCTTCGCTCAGAGTCTCAGAGCGGCTTACAATCTCCTTTCCCTTCCTCTCCCCACAACAGCCACCCTGTGAGCAATGCTCCCTCTAAGCCGTGGAGTCTTGTGAGCAAAAATTCTACTTTGTGAGCTACTGGCATTAAAGTTGTGAGTGAGCAAATTGGGTACTGCTTAAATTAGTTTGCTCTGGAGCCATCCTTCCTGAGCGAAGGCAAGAATGTGTGAGCTGGAGGCTAAAAAACTGTGAGCTGGCTCACACTAACTCAGCTTAGAGGGAACACTGCCTCTGAGGTCGGTGGGACTGAGAGAGCTCTTTCGAGAACTGCCCTTGAGAGAACAGCTCTGAGAGAACTTGTGACTGGCCCAAGGCCACCCAGCTGGCTACATGTGGAGGAGAGGAAATCAAACCCGGTTCCCCAGATTAGAGTACGCCACTCTTAGAAGAAGAAGAAGAGTTAGATTTATACCCTGCCCTTCGCTCAGAGTGGCTTACAATCTGCTTTCCCCTCCTTTACCCACAACAGGCCCCTTGTGAGGCAGGTGGGGCTGAGAGAGCTCTTTCGAGAACTGCTCTTGAGAGAACAGCTCTGAGAGAACTTGTGGCTGACCCAAGGCCACCCAGCTGGCTGTGTCTGACCAAGGAGGCTTGTGACTTTTGAATGCTTCTACTCTGTAGTCTCTAAGGCACTACAGAAGAAGTGTCAGTTTTTAGGCCCCGCTTTTCTCTCCCCTAAGGAGTCTCAGAGCGGCTTAACCATCTCCTTTCCCTTCCTCTCCCCACAGCAGGCCCCTTGTGAGGCAGGTGGGGCTGAGAGAGCTCTTTCGAGAACTGCTCTTGAGAGAACAGCTCTGAGAGAACTTGTGGCTGACCCAAGGCCACCCAGCTGGCTGTGTCTGACCAAGGAGGCTTGTGACTTTTGAATGCTTCTACTCTGTAGTCTCTAAGGCACTACAGAAGAAGTGTCAGTTTTTAGGCCCCGCTTTTCTCTCCCCTAAGGAGTCTCAGAGCGGCTTAACCATCTCCTTTCCCTTCCTCTCCCCACAGCAGGCCCCTTGTGAGGCAGGTGGGGCTGAGAGAGCTCTGAGAGAGCTGGGACTGGCCCGAGGCCACCCAGCAGAATTCATGTGAAGGGAGGAGCGGGGCATCAGACCCATTCCCCAGATTAGAGTCCACCGCTCTTAACCACCGCCCCACACTGTTGTTTATACAAGCCATCAACTATTTAATTTAGTGTGTTGATGGAAAGTAGAATGATCAGTTCATTGTCCTCTGGCAGTGAGTCAACCAGCCGCAGGATATGTTTTGCCCTATAAATATGTCACCATGCTGCCCCAGCAGTGCGTGTGTGTGTGTTCATTTGTTCATGTTCTCACTGCCCTGACCGGGATAGCCCAGGCAAGCCCGGTCTCATCTGATCACAGAAGCTAAGCAAGGCCGACCCTTGCAAGGACTTGGAAGGGAGTCCTCCAAGGAATAACAGGGCTGGGACGCAGAGGCAGGCAATATCAAGCCACCACTCTGAAACATCCTACCACCATTAGGGGTCACTAGAAGTCTCTATGACGTCCAGGCACACAAGCATATACACCACAATACCCCTCCCAAAGAAGTCTCACTGCTTTATTAGGATATTGACTTCAACTCCCTATCAAGTCTATTTAGTATTGTAACTTTAGATTTGACATGCTTTCTGTTCATTAGGTTTTGTCTGTTGTTCAGCTCAGGTCTCAGCACAATAATGTAGCATTTTGGAGAAAAGATACAAACCAGTAAGCCACCACTGGAGGCCAAGATGGAGAAGATCTCTACTGCTACCATGTATTTCCCTTTGGTGCTCAGGTAGGTTGGAACAAAACACAACCAAACATTGCAAAAGACTAACATGCTGAAGGTGATAAATTTGGCTTCATTAAAGGTGTCTGGGAACTTCCTCACTAGGAAAGCCAAGATCAAGCTTATGAGAGACAGAAGACCCATGTAACACAGGACAATGTAGAACATGATGAGAGACCCTTCATTACATTTTATGATGATCTCTTCATTCAGTGACTGTGTGTCAGAGTTGGGGAATGGGGGAGAGGTTCCTAGCCATACTGTACAAATGCCTGCTTGAATAAAGAAGAGGGCAAGGACAACTAAACTGGCCAGTCTTTGCCCCACCCACTTCCTCATTCTGGAACCTGGCTGGGTGGACAGGAAAGCTAGGATCACAGTGATAGTTTTGGCTAACACACAAGAAATAGCCAGTGAGAAAGTGATGCCAAAAGCAGATTGCTGGAGAAAGCAAGTCACCTTCTCAGGTTGTCCGAGGAAGAGAAATGGGCAGAGGAAGCAGAGCATGAGGGATATGAGGAGAGTGAAGGTGATAGCCCGGTTGTTGGCTTTAACTATGGGAGTATCTCTGTGTTTAATGAAAATTCCCAATACAGAAGCTGTGGTCAGAAAAAAAGAAACCGCAAGCAAGGACAAGCTGATCCCTAAAGGTTCTTCATAAGACAGAAAGCTCATCATCTTGGGAATGCAGACATCTTGCTCCTTGCTTGGATATTGATCTTCTGGGCATTTCAAACAGTCCTCCATATCTGAAACAGAAGGCAGTGTCAGGGCCAGCTTATATGATTCTTGAAATGGCCTTCCATGTGGGAGATGCCCACTTGTGCTGATTTGTCTCTTGGTACAGGAAAGCTGATGCAACACATAGAACTGGGATTTGTGCAAGATCATAAGTCTGTGGACAAGCTGCAGTGTCCCCAATAACTTCTGGCCTATTACCGAACCTTGAGGGGAAAGTTTCCTCATTCGTGTTCTTAGGTCAGTCATTCCTAAGAGCACAAATGAAGAATGTTGGTTCCCAGCTGATGGACTCCTCACATATTTTGTCACACGATGGTCCTTACACTGGTCTCACCATCCTGCATGGTCAAGAGGTGGGACTGCAGGGAAAACCCTCCGTGATGGCAGGCCATGATAAATGTTCCTTGTTGCTGAAGGCTTGGGAAAGTCTGGGTCTTTTTAGCCCTAATGATGAAGCCCTGTTTAAATGAGTCTTTCCCCGGCTGATTTGTGCCACTAAGCAGTTATGTCCATCTTGGCCTCCAGTGCTGGCTGCTTACTGGCTTGTATCTTTCCCCCAAAATGCAGAAGAAGGAGAAGGAAAAGGAGAAGGAGAAGAGTTGGGTTTTTATACCCCACTTTTCTAAACCCTTAAGGGATCTCAAAGTGGCTTACAATCACCTTCCAACAGGCACCATGTGACGTAGGTGGGGCTGAAAGAGTTCTGAGAGAACCGTGATTCACCCAGGGTAATCGAGCAGGCTTCATGTGGATGAGTGGAGAATCAATTCAAACCCGATTCTCCAGAGTAGAGACCGCTGCTCTTAACCACTACACCACACTGACTCTGTATATGAGATGGTAGTTTGCTGCTTGGGAAATGGCAACCTGAATTATTTGTGTATACCAGCAAATTTGTTGCATTGCACGACCTACCTTTCTGGCTTGAAAACTTGCCTTCTGGGCATGGAAAACAATCATAACAGCAAAATTTCTTCCCTTCTTTTTTCTTCTTCTGATAACCAGGGAGACAGTAGTCATTACACTGAGAAAGGGGCAGCCCCTGTCCGTAAATAAGAAATATTTTTTTCATTTTCATTCAGGAGAGATAAGACATTATATTTGTTGCTTTTCAGCTGATGTAGCAACTACCAAGTGGGAAGCTGCAGTGGAGCAATGCATTACACTGTGCATACAACAATCTCCCAAAACCTTCCTGATCATAGCTGAAATTATTTGTGCATTGTATTGCTTGGCTATGAAAATACTAATAACTTGAGTCCCAGTGAGTTAGGCAGACTATAAATGGGATAGGTGAGTTATAGCCCAGAACTGGGAAGAATCAGTGTTTTTTTTTTTTTCACAGAGGGGAATTTATGTTCCATTGTGGGTTTCAAAAAACAACGGAGGGAAAAGCCAATGCAGAATCAGCCACAGTCCAAATGAAGATTCAAGACCCATTGACTAAAATTGAGCTTATTTATTAATAGTGGGACTGTGCAATTTATTGAACTCCCTCCATTTCCTTAAAGTTCATTCACTAGTAGGCTGCCCAATGGGGTTGTTAGCTGTTAAGGAATGGACTAATTTATGGTTTTATATCTGCTTACACATGCAACACATGGACTGTGCACACACCTGTATACCATGGGCCTAGAGAAAGCTGTTTGCATCACCTACTGTGAGAGAGAGATTTCACATAGGGAACACTTGCCTGCATTTCATGTTAATGAAGCTTGCACACATTCAGCTCAAGGCATTATGGGAAAGAGAAGCACATGTTAGCCATTGTGAGCAGAGACAACAACCAAGAAGGAGAAATTCCCCCATTGCTGAGGAGATTAGATGCCACGCAGAACATGGACCTGATCTGTATCTGAATTGCAGTTTCCTGTTTATGGTGCCTTGTCAGCCTGGTAAAGCCAAGATTCATCTGCACATCAAGGAGGGCACAGGTAGCCGAGACTTCACACCTGGCCAGATGGTATTCCATGAGATAGCGTGTAAAGTTTCAAATATTGCTCCACCCATACAATACCTGCCCCTTTCTGGATACACCAATGAGATGTAGCAATGGGACAGACTTATAGTCAGGTGGATCCAGAGTGGCAAAGGTTGCAAACCACCCCAAAGATTCCACTATAAAATGCGAGGACCAAGCATGAGGTCCTTTGCTAGCCTCTAACCCCTCCCTTCCTGCTGTAACTCCCTTTCTCCTCAGCCTGCTAAAATCCTCTGTCTTTACCTGACTTCTTGGTGTGTGCACAGCCAAAGAAGTCCACGCTTAGCTGGCTGATTCTAGCAAGTGTGTATTTAGAAATCCCCATAGTATTCTTCCCTCAAGTTTTCATTGCAACAGACAAGACTCCAAGATCAGATAAGTATAAGCCTTTTAATACCTACCTACCTCCAAGTAAATAAGAAACTATCTTAATATCTTTCTGTAACTCTAAAGGAACCTTGAGTGTATGCGATTGTGAGACTGACATTTGTGTGTGTGTGTGATTTTGATATTTCTCAGTAAAAAGAATATTTGTTTTGGAAAAATACCAGTCTACTCTCCATCATTGGTACTCTCTGGACGGGCAAGACCTCCATAAAAGTTGGCAAGACCTCACATTAACTTTAGTTAGCCATCTGCTGTAAATAGTGATTGGCGTAACATAGCATTTGGACAACTCTACCCCGACTCAAAAGTCACCATAGCTCACATTCTCTTTCCCCCCACTTTTTTTGCTTGAACAAAAATCTGCAGCTTGGGACACTATTTAGCCTCACTCCCGACACCCACCAGTTAGAGTAAATTTTCAGGTGATCATTCCAGTGCCAATGAAAGTCTCTCCCCATCATGCTGGATCCAATCAACCATGATTGGTTGGTTTAGTACTTCACATGACTCAGAGTATTCACCAATCAACCTCAAGGTTCTCTAGCAGTCTCATCAATTAGATCGCATTAATACCCACAAATACCAGTTAGGTATCTCCAAATACCTTGAATTAACCAAATGAAGTGCCCCACCCATGCAGAATAATAGGAAGCTAGTGGGGGAAAAGTTCTTTTTTGGGGCAATTTGAGAAGACCCCCCCCATCCCTTCTTGGTCCCATGTTGTTGTTCTCCAGTTGTACAGTCGAGTCTGACTCTTTGGAACCCTGTGGACCACATCACACCAGGTCCTCTTGTCTTCCACCGTCCTCCAGAGTTTGCTCAGTTTCATGTTTGTTGTATCTATAACACTGTCTAACCAACTCTTCCTTTGTTGTCCCCTTCTTTTTTTACCTTCAATCATTCCCAGCATCAGGGTCTTCTCCAATGAGTGCTTCCTTCTCATTTGGTACCCAGAGTATTTGCGCTTCAGCTTAAGTATCTGGCCTTCCAGGGAACAGTCAGGGTTGATTTCCCTTAGTATTGACTGTTTTCATCTCCTTGCAGTCCAAGGGACTCTCGAGAGTTTTCTCCAGCACCATAATTCAAAAGCATCTATTCTTCAGTGCTTGGCTTTTCTTATGGTCCAACCCTCGCAGCCATACATTACTACTGGGAATACCATCACTTTGACCATACAGACTTTTTTTGCCAGGGTGATGTCTCTATTTTTTATGATGCTGTCTATGTTTGCCATAGCTTTCCTCCCAAAGAGCAGGCGTCTTTTAATTTCATGGCTACAGTCGCCATCTGCTAGCTAATGCAATACTATTCTGTAGAAGAGTCAACTTCACAGACAAAAGCCTGACAAAAGTGATCATGTATGTTATGGAGGTAGACTTGAATCCAATAACACTTTAAAAAACCAACAAGGTCTCATAAATGTCAATAAGAATGTTGTTTGTTATTGTAATGAATTGTTTTGAAAAATGAATAAAAAGAGAGTTGAGAAAAAAAAAACATATCAGTTATAAACAGTTTCTACTACTTGGCTCCCACACAGAATGTCCTTGCAACCCCATTTCCCAAAGAATGTGACAGCAAAATGATTCCTGTGCCACAGCTAGTCAGGCACTGAGCTAATATGGTTAGTGGAAGAAATCCATGCATCCTTACTTCCAATATCTCAGATTATGCTTCTGCAGAATGGGCTACTGAAGAAGCCCGTAAACTCACCTGGTTAAAAGTTCTGTGCCACACAATTATATTTTCATTTATGATGAACTCTTGTTTATCTACCCTGCCAACTTTCACTCTATGGAAGGATTTGTTGGGGAAGGTGACCATGTTCACAATGTCAAATCCACCTGCTGTTTCCTTATTAGTATTGAAGTATATTGTCCCACCTTTGGAGGTGTTCAATGAAATGCCTTGAAGGAATGGGTGAAGCTATTGAAAGACAAAATAAAGCAAATTTTAAAAAAGATAACCTATGGCAACCTTCATGTTACAATATCAGAACACTTTGGCCGAGTTCAGACTGGCAGTTTGGCCTGATACAGGCATGTTTCAGAAACGTTTCACAAACGGATTAAAGGAGACGTTCACACAGGCACATCTGTCAGGTGTTCCCCAGCTGTACTCAACTCGTCTTGTAATGCTTCCCTTTCATGTTTAAAAAAATACCAGGTGAAAGTGGTAGCAAACACTGGAGAGTGTGTTGATCCTGCTTCCAGGACGTGTGCATGCTAAAAGCTGCAAACAAGCCACATTGCTGCACCTATGTGCATAGGCGCATGTCACCGGAGTGAAAAAAAGCCACTTAATTATTTATTTAATTTCACTTATACCCCGCCCTCCCCGCAAGCGGGCTCAGGGCGGCTTACATAGGCACAACTGTGCAATAAAATACAACAGGATCAAAACAGTCACGCCTCCACCAGGGGTGGGCCAACAGTGTGAACGCTCTCTTGCAGCTACTCCCAGTATGCTCCCGCATCAGTTGGTGCAATGTGACCGGGATTACCCGGAACAAGTTGTTCTGGGACTTTTTTTTGCCATAACTCCCTTGCGCTTCAAACTTCCAGTCTGAACTCAGCCATTTTCTTGTTGATATGTCTTTATGGATTTTCATTTAGACTGATATCAGGCAGATAACAGCATGGACATTTCATCAGATCTTGGAAACTACACAGGATCAGCCTGGGTTAGTACATGGATGGGAGACCACAAAGGAAGTCCAGGGTCTAGCAGACGCAGGCAATGGCAAACCATTGTCTCTGTTTGTCTCTTGCCGTGAAAATCCTACTGGGTTGCCATAAGTCAGCTGCAACATGATGGCACATTCCACCACCACCAGTCCAAAAATACAACAATTCACATCTTACTATTCAGGCTCAAAAAAATAGGAGGAATATCAATCAATAATGTTTACATCACAATTTTGCCTATTATTTCTGGAAGAACACAGCTAGGTTTTGTCTTGCTTCAATTCATTGGTTCATAGCAATGAAGACATCGTTAGAGGGACATACCTTCCAAGGCTGAAGATCTCGATCTCCTTTGCGCTCCAATATTGCTCTCTGGTTGAATTTAGATGAGTACATGGCATTCATAGCATGTGCCACAGCATAGACAGCATTATAGATATGGTAGCTGTGCCCAGTCATCTCCATTTCAAAAAGAGTTCGAGGAAGGCTCTCAAGTTTTTCCTCCCCAGTACATATTTCTTCCATTTGATCTGGGGAATTTGGAAATGAACAGTCAAACGTTTGCTCCCAGAAGTCTTTCAGAAAGTCATTCCCTTGTGTCCAGGAAGGTTTGATGAGCTGAAGAAACTGCCGGAATCCTGGGAGGTCATTTGAATGAATTGTGAAGGAAATGGCACCTTGAAAGAATTTCATATCCCAGCCTTTTTGGAGAGTGGTTAATGCCAAATCAATCTGGGCTGTCATAATCCATACCCTACCAGAAGACGGGTCATCATTATATCCAGGATCTCCAAAAAACAGATATGTGTGCAATGATATAATGATCATGGTTTCTCCGTAGATGATAATTGTACGAGCTCTGGTATCTGTGAATGGCTGATAAACCCTTGAGATTATAGCATTAAATTCTTTCATACCATGCAACTGTGATTGCTGAGGGATTTTTTCGGTGAAGGCTGAACAGATTCTATTCTGTGAAAGCCTTGGCTCCAGAGCCTGCAAGAAGTATTCTCCACTCTCATTCTCTACAGAGAAAACTCCAATCCATGTCCATCTGAAGTGGAGAAGCAGTTTGATAATACCAGTATACTGAAGATCTTCATCTGGAATCATGCGATAAAAGGATGGAGATTCTGTTGTGCCTTTGTCCTCTGGGGCAAATGAACCAAAGGTGAGCTAAAAGGAAATATACCTATGTTTTAGAAAGGAGGTAATGGGAGCAACTCATGTATTCACTTGTTTGTAAGAACATAAGAACATAAGAGATGCCAATGTTGGATCAGGCCAAAGGCCCATCCAGTCCAACACTCTGTATCACACAGTGGCCAGAAATACCAGTGCCTAGTGTTCCCTCTAAGCTGAGTTAGTGTGAGCTAGCTCACAGTTTTTTAGCCTCTGGCTCACACATTTTTGTCTCAGCTCAGGAAGGGTGGCTCCAGAGCAAACTAATTTATGCAATAGCCAAATCTCTTGCTCACAACTTTAATGACAGTAGCTCACAAAGTAGAATTTTCACTCACAAGACTCCACAGCTTAGAGGGAACATTGCGCAGTGCCATCAGGAGGTCCACCAGTGGGGCCAGGATATTAGAAGCCATCCCACTGTTGACCCCCCCCAAGCACCAAGATGACAGAGCATCACTTGTACTGTAAGTATTTACTGAAGGAAACATTTACTAAATATTAATGCCAAAGAAATACTGCTGGATTTTCTGCACTTCCCTAAAATTTGTTTAACAACCTTTCTACTACCCTTTATTCATCGTCTCCCACACATTTTTCAAACAACAACAATAATAATAATACAGTTTTGCTGTCTTTTTTCTTTTACTGCATAACAATACCACAACAGAGTAACAAAAGGTGAATGAATAACCTCTGTGTCTCAAACCCCCCCCCCCAAGTTTAATGGCACATAATCCTACCTGTGGAATCTTGTAGAGACCTAAAATGTTTGCTATGTGGAAAGAAGTGTCAGAACCAAGCCCTCCAATTACAGCTATAAGATTTTTCTGGGTACCACATTTGTAGTTAGGGACAAAACGATGGAATCTGAAGAGCAAGTCCAAGGTGGTACGATATATCATCCTCTCATCATAGTAGTTGTCATAGATGTGGAAACCAAGAGTAATATTGGGCAAGATCTTGGGATTCTTATTGATCTCATGGATAGCAAACGCCAAGGCCAGGAGATGCTGGTAGAACTTGGTCACAAAACTGAAAAAAAAGACAACCGTTGAACAAGTACATTCTACAATGGACATAGAAGCATAAACAGCCATGGGAGAGGAAGCTGAAGCTTCTTTTACCCGCCTGCCATAGTTGCAGGGAGAAAAGGTCATGAATGGATTTGGAAGCAGAAAACTCCCACTGCAAGTCTGATACAAAGTCTGCCAACAAAGCCGGGGACATATGAAGTGGCCTATTAGTTGCTAATAATGTCTCCGAGTAAATACTTCCACCTTCTGTCTGAATAACCTTTAAAATGCATAAAAACCCCAACATTTTTTGCTCTGTATGTTGGTCATCCTGCTACCTACTTCAGCAGCTGCAAAAGAAGGTTTTTCATTTTCTTTACGGTGTTATTTCTGCACCTTTAGGAAGTAAGACAACCTACCAGGAAGAAGGTTTTCTGATTCTCCAATTTTTGGTCATCAGCTGTTTCTCTCCTGCCTCAAACCTGGGAAACTTTTATTCAGGATGACCCAAGCACAGAGCCAGGCTACATTTTGTGTACATTATTACTAACCCATTGATTTTCACAATATTAGGCTATGTCAGGGAACTGTTGTCATTTTCTGCTGCCCTTGAAAGTGAATCAATTTCATATACCTTCTGCTAAGTGTTAGGGTGCGCACATCCATAACTATATCTCACGTTGGACTGAAGACAAGCTAAAGAAATGTTATGTATACTAGGTAATCCAAACTTTTCTTTAGAAAGTGCTTCATGACACCGATTGGGTGATGCAATAAGAAGATCACTTCTAGGATAAATCTTGTTATGACTGGCTCTATGTAGAGACTAAAATGCATATGCAAGGAGATAATATGCAGCTACCCATGAAGCAAACAACTGTAAGCCCAAAATTATACATAAGGAGTTGGATCCTGAGTCCTGACTAAATTATCTGCTGGCAGACTGGCACTCTAACCACTATACAACACTCACATCAACATTGGATACCATGTAAAATTTCCAGTAATGGGAGGGAGGCCAATTTTAATTGATTCAATTCTCCTTCCATTGACCAGTGACTCCCCCATTATATTATTTCTTGGAGTCCCATGTCCCCTATAAAGCACCTTTTCAGGGTTCAGGGATCATTTGAGGTTGCAATAGGGTTGAGGAAGTCCTATTCTAATGACCAAGATCCCTTCCATCAGTGGAGATTTATTGTGAGATCCATGACATGGTCTAATAGCAATAATGATGAGCATTTATTTCTCCTTTCTCTCCCCATCCTTGTCTCCAAAGTGCTTAACAAATGAGGTAAGTCTTCCTTATTATCCCCAAATTGATCCCCCCAACTTAATATAAATGGAGGCTGAGACCGAATGGGAATAGCTTGCACATATTTTGTCAAGAACATTCCTGTCAGTGGGGAGACCTGACCTTGCAGCCCAATCCAAATGTATGCTTCCTCAGGTCTGGAATTTTAAAAAGGACCTAATTCAGAAAAAAAAACCCAACCCTCTGTATTAATGAGAGATCCTTGTAACACAGAAGCGACATGATATCATTACATGGCCTGCAAACACAAAGAATGTTCTAAGACTTATAAAATGGCTGAAAGGAGGTAGCCTGGGAGCAGTGTTCCCTCTAAGCTGAGTCAGTGTGAGCTAGCCCACAGTTTTTTAGCCTCCAGCTCACAGATTTTTGTCTTAGCTCGGGAAGGATGGCTCCAGAGCAAATTAATTTATACAGTAGCCAAATTGCTCGCTCACAACTTTAATGCCAATAGTTCACAAAGTAGAATTTTTGCTCACAAGACTCCACATCTTAGAGGGAACATTGCCTGGGAGTGGAGGCAGAGGCTAGATGCATATTCTTTGAGCATCCCGTCAACACAAATGAGGTAAACCTTCCTTACTCAGCCAAGGTTACATAAAGCAGGAGGATTAAAAAAACAAAACCTCCTTACCTTGAAATATCCAACAGCTCATGAGAAGGGTGTTTCTCAAAGGACTGTATCTGAAAATGGTAGATGATATGAGACATTATCCCACCAATCAGGAAGTCCCCAGAGTGGTACCACTCGTGTGGAACAGGAAGGGGATTGTTCTCAGGACACTTCATAGGATGGCTTGGAAAAGGCATCGTAGGCGGAACCAGCTGCTGCAACTGTAGCCTCAGCATCCTGCCACCATCTACCCTCTGTGACTGTCAGCACCATTTGCTAAAATCAGGCTAGGCTGGGCTGTGCTCCACAGACCCTCCCCGTACAATTCTGTCTTCAGTGGGCAATCAGCCTTATGCATAGCCTGAGCAGAATCCCAAGTGCATGTCAGGATGGCAAGCTCTACACTTTCACAGCCTTGAGTATCAGAAGAAAAGAAGAAAATGTCAAAGATAAAACCAGTTCATTCCACCGGTTCTGAACAGAACAAAGCTTTTATAACTCACGGTTGGGTTTGTTGGTTGCTGCTCATGTCCTCTGAAAAGCCACTAGAGCTTGCCCTGAATGAACAAATTATAGTGGTTTCGAAAATTGCAGCAGCTGATAATTACCTCTTCAGGCTTTGAGCTCTGAATGGCTCCACAAACATGAAGACTGACAGATATGATCACAAATCGCCTGTGCTTTCTGGCCACACAATTAAAACTAGAGTTGCCAATCTCCAGCTTGGGGCTGGAGTTCTCCTAGCATTACAACTGTTCTCCAGAGATCAGTTCCCCCGGAAGGATAGGTAACTTCAGAGAGCAGACTCTATGGTGGGGTCCCCAGTGTGGTGCCCAGGAGTGTCATGACAGCCACTGAAACATTTCCTGGCACCCACCAAGTGTTTATAGAAAGTGGGTGGGGCTTTTGCTTAGCAGGGCTTCTGATTGGCCACTGGAGATGTGATTGGCTGTGTAGATTTGAGAAACATAGCTTTGGCAGCAGCTGCCATCACAGCACAGGGATCTTCACCTTGTGCCTGAAGGTAAGCTGCAGCAGCCATTTTGTGGTTGGCTCCACCCCCTGTGGCAACCATTTTGTAGCAGCTGTTTTGTGGCTGCATCCACCATATTGAGTCCAAATCCCAAAGGTGCCCATGGCCTGAAAAAAAAGTTAGAGTCAAAGTTGGAAGGATAGGCAGAAAAATTCACTTGGAGAACCTGTTCACCATTTATGAGGAGGCCATTGTATGGCCCAGCAAGTTCAACCAGGTAGAGTTCATGGACATCAGTGTAGTCTAGGTACTGTCAACCAGGGAGAGTCTGTGGACATCAGTGTAGTCTAGGTACTGTTCTCCAATGTATAAATAATAGGTCTGAGTTCAAATGCTGTATTACTTCGGTGTTGTGTCAAATAGGAGAAGCCCATTATTTAAATATCCTATTTTTTCTCTGGAACATATTACCTTTCAGAATTAGATTCTAGAGTTAGATACTGCAATAAGTGTCTGTTTAGGAGAATTATATAGCACTTTTTTCTGAGTAAACATACATAGGATATGTCAATAATTCAGATGTTTCCAAGAATCCTCACAATATCCTATAATACAATTAACCCGCTCGGGGGAGGGCAGGGTATAAATATAATTAAATAAAAAAATAAAATAAATAACCACTGAGAAGACCATAAAACAGGGAGGGAACCCCTATTTTTTGAAACAGAATATGATGAAGAATAAGAAACATAAGAACACAACATTGACAGTTGCATCAAGCAACAGAACATTTTGTGCAAACTGTACTTGAATATCTTGCAATAGATACAGTTTTGGGCAAGTCCTTGACACAATGTGCATACTTGCCTGAGAAGCATATTGTATGCAAACTGGATTTCAGCACTGATTCAAGTTCCATCCTATCAATGCTTCCCAATTATTCTCAGAAGCAAAATGTTGTACTTTTTGAGAAGTTGCAATATTATAGATATCCAGAGACCTGTCATCCCAAGGTGTCCAGCAGATCATTGACTGTCAGGGGTTCAGTCAATGGACAGGATCCGGTACCCCATGCTGTGTCAAAGCATACTACAGCTGTAACCAATAAAGTTGTGGCCAATTGTGTTCCACTTTTAGTCCACTTTTCAGAAAATTGTTTTTTGTGTGTGTGTTATTTGAACTGAAGCTGTGAATGGAATTAGGGGTTTTTTTGGGGTATACAGGAACTCTTTGTCTTGAGCGCCTGCCTTGCCCCTTCCCCTTGGTACTGGGGCTGCAACCATGACTTTTACCAATAAAATGCTTAAACAATGTGTTACCCTAAGTGGCTGTGAGGGTCTCCTGAGTTTGTTGTGGAATTAGCCAGGAAATCCAAACAATGTGAAATGGGATAATCAAGCAGGATCTCCACCTGTGTATACAGGGATTCTTCCCTCAGTAAAACTCTCAAAATGAACCAGGCCTTGATGAAGGAAACGATTTTTATTAAAGAGGAAGGAAACGATGAAGGAAATATTTTTTCTAGAATCAAAAACTTATTAATTGAAGAGCACTCTACAAACACACATACAAATTCAGAAAATAAATGTGGTAGCCTATGGGGACAGGGAGGGGAACTTATTTTACGGGACTATATTTACCTATCCAAGGAAAAGAGATTTGGAGGGAAAGATAAGTGAAACAAACCAGTGTTCCACTCAGAGAAGAATTACCCAACTTCATGTTGGGGGTGTAAATTTAGTGGAAGTCCAGATAATGACACCCAGCTCTATCTGTTGTTGGGCAGCCAGTCTGACTCCAGACTGCGAGACCTGGACCTGGCGTTACAAGCCGTGACTGGATGGCTTAGGCTGAGCTGATTGAAATTGAATCTGACAAAGACAGAGGTCCTGTGCCTGAGCCTGGGCGGTCCAGGGGTAGGGATCCCACTCCTGACCTTCGATGGGGCACTGTTGGTACCAGCATCGGAGGTTAGGAGTTTAGGAGTGCTTTTGGATGCCTCCTGAACAATGGAGGCCCAGGTAGCAGTCATTGTCAAGTCAGCCTTCTACCATCTTTGGCTGATTAAGTAGCTGGTTCCCTTCTTTGAATGCAGCAACTTTGCAACAGTGATCCATGTGATAGTCACCTTGAGATTAGACAGCTCTAATGCTCTCTACATGGGGCTGCCCTTGTTGCAAATCCAGAAGCTGCAGCTGGTGCAAAAGGCTGCAGCCAGGCTCCTGATGGGTCTCCCCATGTGTGAACAAATCCAGCCTTTGCTGAAAGCACTGCACTGGCTGCCGATAGCATACTGAATTCACTTCAAGTTGCTGGTTCTCATCTTTAAAGTCCTTTATGGTCAGGGGCCTACAAACCTGAGGGACCACCTTTCCCCACGTGTTCCCCAGAGAGCATTGTGTTCAGGGTTCCAAAATCATCTGGCTTTCCCTGGTCCCAAAGATGCCAGGGTGGCCACAACCAGGGCCAGGGCCTTCTCAGTGACAGCTCCACGCACTGGTGGAATGAGCTCCCAGAAGACATCAGGGACCTGCGGGACCTCCTACAGTTCCACAGAGCCTGCAAGATGGAGTCTTCCACCAGGCCTTTAATCAAGGAGCCACATCCAATAATTGAACTGTGACAAGGCCCTGTCCCCCTGGAATCACCACCAGCAGCCTGTGCCTGCTGGCTTAAAAGGATTAAGATAAGCTGAATATCAACACCGACTGTATTCCACTATGACTATTCCATCATGACCCGTTACTATGTCTCCGCCATCACTACGCAATATTACTACTCACATTACTCCTGTTACTAGCACTTTATGATTGTTTACCATTGTTTATGATTGGTTTATATCTGCTTTGATTTATGTGTAACTTTTTATGTAAGCCGCCCTGAGCCTGCTTTGGTGGGGAGAGTGGGGAATAACAACAACAACAATAATAATACACACACTTCATTGAACAGAGTGAACAAAGAGTGGCTGGTTGTAATATTTTGGGGCATGATGTAGTTGCTCCTAGAACAATTCTGTGATGGTACGAATGAAAAAATGTGTCTGAGCAAGGAAGCTTCATAACTCTGCCAGGGCTTGTGAATATAACGTAACATTCATGGGAGAGTCCCGAGTGAAAATATCTGTTGTGTTTTTGGTGAAATGCCGATAGCATACTGAATTCACTTCAAGTTGCTGGTTCTCATCTTTAAAGTCCTTTATGGTCAGGGGCCTACAAACCTGAGGGACCACCTTTCCCCACGTGTTCCCCAGAGAGCATTGTGTTCAGGGTTCCAAAATCATCTGGCTTTCCCTGGTCCCAAAGATGCCAGGGTGGCCACAACCAGGGCCAGGGCCTTCTCAGTGACAGCTCCACGCGCTGGTGGAATGAGCTCCCAGAAGACATCAGGGACCTGCGGGACCTCCTACAGTTCCACATGCCTGCAAGATGGAGCTCTTCCACCAGGCCTTTAATCAAGGAGCCACATCCAATAATTGAACTGTGACAAGGCCCTGTCCCCCTGGAATCACCAGCAGCAGCCTGTCCCTGCTGGCTTAAATGGATTAAGATAAACTGAATATCAACACTGACTGTATTGCACTATGACTATTCCATCATGACCCGTTACTATGTCTCCGCCATCACTATGCGATATTACTACTTGCATTACTCCTGTTACTAGCACTTTATGATTGTTTACCATTGTTTATGATTGTTTTATATCTGCTTTGATTTATGCGTTTTAACTTTTTATGTAAGCCGCCCTGAGCCTGCTTTGGTGGGGAGGGCGGGGAATAACAACAACAACAACAATACACACACTTCATTGAACAGAGTGAACAAAGAGTGGCTGGTTATAATATTTTGGGGGATGATGTAGTTGCTCCTAGAACAATTCTGTGATGGTATGAATGAAATATGTGTCTGAGCAAGGAAGCTTCATAATTCTGCCAGGGCTTGTGAATATAATGTAACATTCATGTGAGAGTCCCGTGTGAAAATATCTGTTGTGTTTTTGGTGAACTCTAATGGACAGCAAGACAACTATCACACAGAAGGTTATGGGATTAAAATGGTTTTTTTACTAGGTACTTACTTAGGATAACCAGATGAGGAAAGGCCTGGTAAGGAAGGGAGTTGGTTAGTTTTCTGTCCTTTCTGAGAAATCAGCCTTTGATGCTGATCAATTTAAAGAGGGAAGAGAACTGCCAGAAACCAGACCTTTGAATCTTTAGGATCAGTTTTCTCAGACAAGCCTCTGGTCAATATTTGATGGCACACATTTGATGTAACTGTAGGACCCAATTTGATCCTATTTGCATGCCAGGATGTGGACAGGGATGCTTGATTCATCATGACTAGGAAACAAACATTTAGAATGGGATAAGTAAAATCCATGCATTCATGTGATTAAATATAGGGTGGCCACTGGCCACCTTGCACCCTAATTGCATTACCTGAAATGGGACTCATTGTTATGCAACAGGAGAGGATACACTTCATGTTGGAAATGTATGTGTTTACAAGGTCTGATGATTCAGTCATTATAGGGTTAACTTGTATTCCTAGTTTGCTATTGTTTAGACTGACCTGGAAGGGATACCTGGCACTGAGCCAATGGGGAATTAGCCCGGGAAAAGTAACTTCTACTTTGATGCAGATTGGTCATTTGTTTCAGGTGACTTCCTTTCTAGGGGTCAAGAAGAAGGAGAGAATTTCTCCATTACGTGTGTGCTTGTTTTGTCTGTAGGCAGCATAGAAATGTAGCTCTTAGTGTTATGTTGATTTGTAGCAATCCTGTGAACCCTTTCCCCTTAGAATAAAGTATTTTTAAAAGCAAAGAACTCTCTTCTTTCCAATAGAGCAAGATCCATCAAATAGTCTGAGTATTAAACAATTTTGACTATTTTACAACACTTCATTCTTTCAGGATTTGGAACGATGTTCTATTTTGAAGCAGGTACATTTGGACACTAAACATAACTTTCGTTGCAGGGTTCTCAGACAGAACTTCTACCACGACCTTCATTTTCCTTAATGGAGTTCAGTAAAACTTTTCATCTTCTTTAATATCTTTTTGGAGGTTCTGCATAGATTGTTAAATACTGCCTAAATTTGCTGGAAATGACAAGATATAGATGGAACCTTCTTCCATATGTGGTGGATGTGTAAAAAAAAATACTGGAAGAAAATACATGGAAAAATGCAGAAGGTTAATAAAAGGTTAAATTTCCCATGGAAACCAGGAATATGCTGCTATATATGCTGCCTAACAAATTGCCAAAATTTTTGCAAGAAATATTCAAATACATGGTGTTGGGGCTAGAATTATTTGTGCAGCACAATGAAAAGTAGATATTTGTCTGCGTTTGGAGGAATGAGAAAATAAACTTGCCAAATATGCAGTAATGGCAAAATGAATAACATATTTGAAAAACAGATCAATTATGAAATTTGAGAAGAAATTAACTGTGTACTATACAAGTAGGAGAAAAATTAGTAGTAGTCTAAAATATTGTATATTGTATTGTAATGAAGAAGCAGAATGAGGATCAGTTTTAAATGTAACATCTTGAATATAAATTTGTGTAAGGAAGTGGCTTTTGGAGAGAAGTTTTTTATTTTTTTTATTAGGAGATATAAAATATACTTTCCTTCTGTATTTTTGTTATATTACCTACTTGTTAAAAGTAATAGTGAGTATGCAGAAGTGGCCAAAATATGTAATACTGAGTAATATTAGTAATGATGCAACTAATAATTTAGCCACAAAACAGATTAGTTATGAAATGTGAAATGTAAAATGTTGAATATAAATGTACCCCAACATAAGTGTCATTGTATTTTATAGACAGTGTCCCAAAACCATTCAATGTAATGAAGGGGGTGTTGGGGATATCTATACAACTATGGTATGTAATCCTTCCCCCCCTTTCTCTATTTCCTTTATATTATCTCTTTGTTTTCTAAAATTACACACACAAACACACACATATATACACACATACCCACACACACACAAACACTGCCTCACTTTGCTAAGTCATAATGAAAGGTCTCTCCAAATGAGCATGATCTTTCTTTGATAAAGTACTTCTCAAGAAAGACGGTTTTGTGGTTTCACATGCATGAATGTGTGGAACTGTGTGTTTGGAGAAGTTGTTAGGAGTGTGGACTCTAATCTTGGAGAACCGGGTTTGATTTTCCATTCCTCCATGTGCAGCTGCTTGGGTGAGTTACAGGTTCTTTCAGAGCTCTCACGAGCCGTTCTCAAAGAACTTTCTCAGTCCCACCTACCTCACAGGATGTCTGTTGTGGGGAGGGGAAAGGAAAGGAAATTGTAAACCTCTCTGAGACTCATTTGGGTAGAGAAGGGGTATCTCCTCCTCCTCCTCCTCCTCTATTAATGTAGTTCTCTTCACTAAACATGTTTATACTTGTGATCTATGGTACACACCTCAGTCTGATTCCTCCTATTCTGTTTGTGGGCTGGATCCAACTAAGTTTCCATTGGGAAAAAGAGAGGAGGAAGGAGTCTCCTTTCACCAGGAAAAAGGCTATGCTGGGCATCATGGGACTTGCATGGACAAAAGATATGTGTGAAGGAGTTGGAGTAAGGAGAAGGAGTGTGAAGGAGTTGGAGTAAGGAGAGGAACATGGAGAGATTGAGTATTAAAAAACAGAGGGTTTCAAGTTATGGTTTTCAATCCCAAATTCTGTTCTTGAAAATCTTTGAACCCCTGCTTCCTTCAAGGAATCTGTTAGGATATTTATTTTTAATAAAATGATATTGATGGCCTCTCTTTGTAGGCCTAATATATTGGGTGGCCTTCACTAAGTGTGGGTCCTGAAAAAGCATGAGCTGACTGTTTTGCTGAGGAAAAGAGAAAAAACAACAACCTCTTCCTGGGATGTGATAACATATTTTCTTACGAGATCTTGTAGAGGATCAATTGCTCTGAGTAATGATTATCTCCGTTGTAATTATTAAATTAACCAACATTACTTCTGGGTTTTTTCCTCAAAGTCTCTAGGGGTTTTTAGCGGACATTAGCAAAACTGCAGACCAAAAAAGACAGATAGTATTAATTTCCCCTATGCTGTTCAGGTTGATAAGACACAAGGAGTCAAATTACTGTGGCTTCCACTGTGCTGGCATGATCTCAATGAACCAAGAGATTGGCTGCACCACTAACACTCTTTTACTTGGGGATATTGATGAGAAATTGTGGGAATTGAATTGGCACCCAGAAAGAATTTTAAAAAATGATGGTGGCATTTGCTGTGATAGTCCTGGTGTTCCTACCTCAACTGGCATGCAAGCTTCCTGATTCTAAGTGTTCTGTGGGTGACCCTGTTCCTATTTTTCACAAGTCTTTTCAGTCAGGGGACTTCATCATTGCAGGCATTATTTCTCAGATTTATATCTTTTCTGAGCCCATAACATTTGGAAGACATCCCTCTCAGGAACTCTTTGATGATATTGAGTAAGAACTTTGGGTTTTTTAACTTATCGAGCTTTCTAGATAATAATATCTCTATCTACGTAAACCTAAGACTGATTTGATTATGTGAAAGGGCAGATGACACCCAAGAACCCAGCCATAGCATATTTACTTGTGCCTGACCTGTGATTCAGAGGTGCCCCTTTCATGAAGAAAATAAGGTTTTGAGTTCTGAGTTTCAGGACACTTATAAAAAGCAAGGAGTCCTGGGATACATAAGTAGCCAACTTCACTTTCTTAATCCATAGAGAAATGCCCTATAGTGTTGACACTATAATGAGTGAATGAAATGAGGCAAGTTTTCACATAATAATATTCTTATTCATCTTTCAAATACATGGAAAGGGAAAGTTCCAAATTAATCTTATAAAGCAATCTGATTTATGCATACATGAGTGCAGATGCTATCTAATAATTCCCACAATTTGAGGTTTATATTCAGAGAAGTAAAAAGTACATATTTGGTACCCAAGTTAGTTGACTCTTCTGTGGAGTGGAACAAAAACTTCTGTTCTAGTGCAACATATTTATGAAAGATAAATTAAACTAAAATGTAATTAACATCCTGTTTGGAAGCTGGACTGTTGAGATGTCACCTGTAAACTTCTTTGCAGAATAATGACACACAACTACCAGCACATCCTGGCCTTGCAGTTTGCTGTAAAAGAGATCAATGACAATCCAGAGATCTTGCCCAACATCACCCTGGGATCCCACATCTATAATAGCTATTTCAGTCCAAGCAGGATCTATCAAGCATCAATAGAGTTTTTATCTACAAAGGACAGGGTCACCCCTAACTACAAGTGTGATGGAAAGAGAACTCTGGCAGCCGTCATAGGAGGCCCTACTTCTGACATAGATCTCCACATGGCAAATGTGTTCAACATCTACAAGATTCCACAGGTAAGATGCATTCATAGAGCAATGGAGATCAAAAGGACATCCTTATTCCTCTTTTGTTTAACATATTTTGTTTGCTGCAAAAAAATTGTTTGGTAGTAAATATCCTCAATTTCATTGATACATTTTAGATGTGCTGATACATTCCCAGTCTTATCAGTATCAAATATATACTGATATTTGGACAGAGCAAACATTCTAAGTCTTATCAGGATCAAATATACTGATACTTGGATAGAGCAACCTTTTATTTTTCTTCTTTCCTTTAGCTGACCTATGGAACTGCTTCATTGGTGACTGAGAAAAGCCTGTCTCCTTTTTCCCACTGGATGTTCCCAAATGTGGCCCATCAATATAAGGGCATTCTTCACTTACTTTTGCACTTCAGATGGACGTGGATCGGATTATTTTATCTGGCTGTTGAAAATGTAGAACAATTCCTACAGAATGTCATTTCTTCTTTTTCCCAAAGTGGTGTCTGCTTTGAGTTCTTACAAATATTACAAGCGATAAGTTTTTCTGATGGTTTCGCTGGACTTTTGGAAAAGGGACTAGAAACGTACAAGATTGGTATGGGAAGCTCTGCTACTGCACTAGTTATACATGGTGAAATTCAGACAGTCATGAGCATGAGGACAGTGCACCAGGTTGCAGAATGTGAGGATAACCCAGTTAAAACAAAAGGCAAAGTCTGGATTATGACAGCTCAGATGGATTTTGTATCACTTCCCTACCAAAGAAACTGGGACATAGACATCATCATTCATGGAGCTATAGCCTTTGCTATTCACTCAGTTGAGGTGTTGGGATTCTATAGATTCCTTCATATGAGAAATCCTACTTTGGTGATAGAAGATGCTTTTATTAAGGCCTTCTGGCAACAGGCATTTCAGTGTTCATTTCCCGGTTTCATAGCAGTGAGCAAGGATGGACCACTCTGCACTGGTGAGGAGAAGTTGGAGACTCTTCCTGCATCTGTCTTTGAAATGGGGATGACTGGCCATAGCTACAGCATCTACAATGCTGTCTATTCTGTAGCACATGCTTTGCATGACTTGCATGTATCCCAGTTCAGACAGAGATGGATGTCTGACAAAGGAAGAAGGCAGCTTCTGAATCAACAATTGTGGCAGGTAATACAGTCTGGGAAGAGCTTTCTGTATTCATGGTGCAACAACCTGTTGTAGACCCAGTGGAATGTTTTGCCTGTTCAAAACAGGAATAATCATTATATCTCGCCATGCGGATCAACTCCAAAATAACACATAGTTCATGCAGATTACATTTCATTCCTGTGAACCTGCATCTAAATGGGTTCTTTGAGAATGGATGATTGAAGAAAAAATGAATAATTTCAGGTGGGTAGCCATATCACTCTGCAGCAGAACAAGCCCTTAATGCCAATAAGATTTTTAGGATTTCCTGGAAATATTTTTGGTCTTGTAGATCTTACTAGACTCTCTTATAAGGATTTCCTGGAAATCTTTTTGGTTTTCAAAACCAAATCTTACACAAGCCAATGTGGTCTATATCTGAAATTCAGTGATTCTTCCAGCTTTTTAAGGGCCCTGCCTTCCTTCCAGCCCACCAGCATCTCAACCTGCCTGACTGTCCTTAAGAACATAAGAGAAGCCAATGTTGGATCAGGCCAATGGCCCATCCAGTCCAACATTCCATCACACAGTGACCAAAAAAGCCTAGATGCCATCAGGAGGTCCACCAGTGGAACCAGGACACTAGAAGCCCTCCCACTGTTGCCCCTCCCAATCACCAAGAATACAGAGCATCACTTTCCCCAGACTGAGTTCCTATCTCTACCTTGTGGCTAATAGCCACTGATGGACTTCTGCTCCATATGTTTATACAATTCCTTCTTGAAGCTTGTAACCGCCGCCTCCTCCTGTGGCAGTGAATTCCATGTGTTAATCACTCCACGGGTGAAGAAGTACTTCCTTTTATCAAATCAAACCCGACTGCTCAGCAGTTTCATTGAGTGCACACACGTTCTTGTAATGTGAGAAAGGGAGGAAAGTACTTCTTTCTTTACCTGTTCTATCCCATGCATAACCTTATAAATCTCTATCACGTCACCCCTCAATGGTTCACCTCTCCATGGCTGTGACTGGGATATCACACCCACATTTATCAGAAAACTGGCAGCCCAATTGGTCCCTGTCCAGTCCATACACTTCAGTTTCTCTTTATCCCTGACATCTGCGTACTCCTCGTCTTTCTTCTCAAGCTCATGATGAAGAAGGGTGAAGATGTATTCACTCCTACAGGTCTTTTCCCTGGTCACTGGCAATAGGTGAACACCTAGGGGAAATTCCTGATCCCCAAAGGGAAGTGCCTTGAATGGCACAGAGGCATATGATGCTCCCAAAGGGGAATGATACCCCCCCCCACGGTGACACTGTAAACTCTGGGGGCTGAGCCAGCATCCACCCCAGGCCACTTGAGGGGTGGGTTGGTTGAAAGCCCAACACCAGTGCTGTGACAAGCCAGTGCCAAAAGGTGGAGATAATACTGTTGCGGAGGCAGGGTTAGGGTTTCCACTTATTTTGGTCTGACTCCCCCACTCCTCAAGTTTGCTGCAATGCAGAATGGAACTAAAATCAAAATCAATATGAATATATTCACTGAAGGCAGGATGATTCCAGCTTCACAGGTCCTCAAACTGAATTATCCTCCCCCTCAGCTTTGCACCCCCAGTCCTCACCTTTTGGTATCCCTGCATCACATCATCCCTCATTGGTACCTTTCCACTCTGTCACCATGGCAGCAGTGCAGGTACTTGTCCCATGAGGTTCTTCTTCCAGGAGTCAAGCACATGGTGAATAAGCAGAAGGGAGGGGGGCTGTGGTAGCAGCCTGGAGCAGTCTATAGTGGAGAGACATAAGTGACATGGGATGTTGTGGATTCTGGCTGCCAACAAAGCAGAATGTGTTTGGAGAGCTCCAAAGGCAAGGAGGGAGGGAGATCTGTGACCAGCACTCTGTTGGGTGAGCCGTGGGCTAGTATTCCCCCCACCCACACAAATGTTGATGGATGGGAATGGCAGTACACCAGGAAAGCATTCCTGATTCCCAAGTGCAGTGCTTACAGCTTAAAGGTGAACACGGGCACAGAGAATTTGTTGGAAGCTGGGAGAAGATGTTTCTGCAGCACTGGGCCTTTGGCAACGGGTGGTATTCACTTGAAAGTGCCAAACCCTGAAGGAGACTCAGCTTTCTTCTGAGCAACCATATAGGTTTGCGTGGATCTTTTTCTAAAAGAGGGAAATTGATCCAAATACAAGCACTGCATATTTTTCTCTTGTCTTACGATCTTTGTTTTGTTTTGAATATAGCTTCATAAATTTCTGAGAGCTGTGTCCTTTAACAACAGTGCTTGGGAACACATTGCCTTTGACCGAAATGGGGAATTAATGAGTGGATTTGATGTTCTGAACTGGGTGACATTCCCAAATCAGTCCTTCGTGAGACTCAAAGTTGGAAGGATAGATCCAAACATTCACTCAGAGAACCTGTTCACCATTCATGAGGAGGCCATTGTATGGCCCAGCAAGTTCAACCAGGTAGAGTCCATGGACATCAGTGTAGTCTAGGTACTGTTCTCCAATGTATAAATAATAGGTCTGAATTCAAATGCTGTATTACTTCTGTGTTGTGTCAGATAGGTGAAGCCCATGATTTAATTCTCCAGATTTTTATCTGGCACACGTTACCTTTCAGAATTAGATTCTAAAGCTGTATACTTCAATAAGTGTCTGTTTAGGAGAATTGTATAGCACTTTTTTCTGAGTAAACATATATAGGATATGTCAATAATTCAGATGTTTCTTAGAATCATTACAGTGTCCTATAATATGTTTAACAACTGAGTAGACCATAGAACAGGGAAACAAAAACCCAACAACCCTACTTTGTGAAACATGACATGATGAAGAACAAGAAAAATAAAAACACAACCTTGACAGTTGCATCAAACAACAGAACATTTTGTGCAAACTGTACTTGAATATCTTGCAATAGATACAGCTTTGGACAAGTCCTTGACACAATGTGTGTACCTGCCTGAAAAGTGCATTGTATGCAAACTGGATTTCAGCAGTGATGAAAGGTCCATCACATCAATGCATCCCAATTATTCTCAGGTCAAATGTTGTACTTTTTGAACACTTGCACATGGTTTGTCCCTTGGCACACTAAGTCAAAAACATAGTTTCTGAGAACATTATCTTCTTTCATTTGTGGACAGACACAACCACTTTCTCGGTGCAATGACAACTGCCATTCTGGCTTCAGTAGAAGAAAGAAGGAAGGGAAGCCATTTTGCTGCTATGATTGCCTTCCATGTCCTGTAGGGAAGATTTCAAATAAGGAAGGTAAGAAAAGTTATGTAAAGAATTTTTCTAAAATACTTTCTGTGATGAATCATCTTATAGACGGACATCAATGTAACAGACTATCTGAAGAGTCACTTAAGTGGTGGCAGCTGATTTAGAACTCTTGAAACACTTGTCAGTGATTTGGTAACAAATGATGGTGCAAAGTGCCTAATTATAGCAACGTCTTAGGGCTTTCAAGGAAAGAAATGATCAGAGGAGCTTTGCTTTTGCTAGCCTCTGCATAGTGACCCTGGACTTCCTTGGTTGTCTTCAATCCCGTATTAACCAGGGATGACCCTGCTTATCATCCAAGATCTGATGAGATGGGGCTAGGTAGGGCCACCCAGATCAGTTTCCAAATACCTCTTTCTGACATGCACCAGAGGAAGTGAACGTCACACTGTTGCTTTTGTTAGACTTTAAGGTTTTTAATGCAAGGACTTCCTTGGTGGTCTTCCATCCAGTATTAACCAGGTATGACCCTGCTTAGCATCCAAGATCTGATAAGATGGGGCTAGGTAGGGACACCCAGATCAGTTTCCAAATACCTCTTTCTGACACGCACCAGAGAAGTGAACAACTCACACTGTTGTTTTTGTTAGACTTTAAGGTTTTTAATGCAAATATAAGTAAACCTGATGCTTCCTGGAGGGACACTTTGAGGGATATAAGCAGAAAAAGTGAGCAATATGAGGGTAAAGAGCAAAGGGGTTGGAAAGGGGGGATCTATTAGAGTAGGGAAGCTACCTGGAGCTTGGTTAGATATGTTCCTAGATCACATAGCTTCTTTCTCCTGAAACATCAGAGCATTCCTAGGCTTCTCATCTTTCTATAGTACTACTACCAATAGTAGTAGTATGTTGTTGTTAAACTGTAAAAGGTAAGAAGGTTTCCTCTAAGCGGTGGAAAGCTAGTCTCAGTGGGTTGATAAAGGAAAACACAGGCTGTACAAATAAAATGCAAGTCTGTGATCAGGCACGCAAAAAGGGAATATGAGGAGCATATAGCAAAAAACATAAAGACCAACAATAAAACTTTCTTCAAATACATTAGAAGCAGGAAACCAGCCAGGGAGGCAGTGGAGCCTTAGGATGACCAAAGGGTAAAAGGAGTAGTGAAGGATGATAGGGAAATGGCTGAGAAGATGAATGCATTTTTTGCCTCTGTTTTCACTGTGGAAGATGAGAAATGCTTGCCCACTCCAGAACCTGTGATTTTGGGAGGGGTGTTGAAAAACCCGAGTCAGATTGAGGTGAAGAGAGAGGAGGTCCGATCAACTGATAGACAATGTAAACACTGATAAATCACCAGGCCCTAATGGCATACATCTGAGAGTTCTGAAAGAACTCAAATGTGAACTTGTGGATCTCCAGAAAAAAATATGTAATCTTTCCTTAAAATCTGCCTCTATTCCTGAGGACTGGAAGGTGGCTAATGTCACACCCATCTTTTAAAAGGGTTCCAGAGGAGATCCGGGAAATTAAAGGCCAGTCAGTCTGACATCGATACCAGGTAAGTTAGTAGAAACTGTTACTAAGGAAAGAATTAGTAGGCACATAGATGAACAAAACCTATTGAGGCAGACTCAGCATGGGTTCTGTAAGGGAAGTTCTTGTCTCACTAAACTGTTAACGTTTTTTGAGGGGGTGAACAAACATGTGGACAAGGGGGACCCAATAGATGTTGTTTACCTTGACTTCCAGAAAGCTTTTGATGAAGTTCCTCATCAAAGGTTCCTAAGTAAGCTCAATAGTCAATGGATAAAAGGACAAGTGCTCTTGTGGATCAAAAACTGGATAATTAATAGGAAACCGAGAGTGAGTATAAATGAGAAATTTTCTCAGTGGAGGGAGGATTGTGAGGCACTCCAAAGGGATCTGTCGAGGATGGGCGAGTGGGCGTCAACGTGGCAAATGGGGTTCAATGTGGCCAAGTACAAGGTGATGCACATTGGAGCCAAAAATCCTAACTATAAATACACGTCGATAGGCACGCAAAGAACTTAATATATCAAAGATTTAAGGATATCGAAGCACAAAACCACTATGCATCCCTGCCTTCCTATTATAAGAGACTAAAGCTGGGACCAATTTTAAATGCCGCATCTTACCTTGGTCTCATAAAAAACC